TGTTATTCTAACCGTGTTTTGACGTCCGCATTACAAGCGAATGGAAGCACTCCATCGTTCAAAGTCCGTCTGAAAGTTGAAAGTTTTCTCATGTTCGGATACTCTGGTCACCCTTAAAAAAATTTGAGCTCGAGGCAGCGAATGCTCAAGCGAGAATCGCGCTCGATTTTGTCTAAGTTTTTGGACTTTAAATGCCATCCAAACCGGGGTTTTTCTCTCCTACGCATCCGCTTCCCTCTCACAGTCTCGTGCTCACCAATACCAAACCATTTCTGCAGGCAAATATGGATTAACGGTAACACTGTACTGTAAAATAATTCATTGGTAGAAAAATAGTAAACATTAAAGTTTAGTTTTAATCGCCTACTTACATGGCAGTTGTAGCTCTACTGCTTGACAAGATTCTCCTCCCATACGCAAGACATCTGAAAGAGGCGTAAGGGGGTAAGTGAATTTCATGTTTTTATATCATAGACGTATATTGCCTGATAAAGTATACAAGTAAATACCTGTAATAAGAATTACTGTTGACAAGCTGGCTGCTGGAGGCTTTATGACCCCTCGTCTGCTGGCGGTCATACGCATTCTTAAGAACATGCTTAAGTGTCTCCTCTAGTTTCTGGCGGTCGGGCTTTTTGTCCGCATTCCATTTGTTTAAAACCTCTAGGATGTGTTAGATTACATTCGATCAGTTGGTCGAAGTACACAAGGAAGAAGTCTTACCCGGAATTACTTCAGAGGTCGGCTATCCATATAGGGCCCTGTTGCCGTATCAGAAGCTCGGCTGTCCGACAACGACGGGCACCCTTGCCCCACATTCCGTCAGTTCTCCGTAACTTTTCGTTTGCCTCGCGGTTTATGCGACGTCGGTAGGTCCATGTGTGTACGCAGTTAAACATAATAGAAAAAAGAATCCACATCTAGGAGAAGGGATCCAGAACAAATACAAACATATCAGACATGCAGGGCGTGCGCATGAGAGCGTGGCAAAACAGGAAGTGGTGCTGGGGACCGCGCGGACACAATGTCGCAAGCTAACCAGTCAGCTTATGCAAGCACGCGTAATTACTTGCCCCCTTAGAAACGCTAGCGCTATACAGCTGCCAACCAATCAAAGCATGGGTTCCAATTAGCCGGGAAAATTCCAGTCTGATTCACGCCACCTTGTTATTAGGGCAAAGATCTGTGTCCGTAGCAACACCCCGCCCAAGTAAACGGGGCGTTGCTAATATTAAGCGCGTTTGACAAGGACCAGCCTAGAAACGCCAATAACAACTGTCTTCGTGAACCACAGTATAGGCGATATGTTTGTCTCCCATTAAGAATCAGAGAAAAGCGTTTTTGGATGATTACGGAGGCAGCTGATGCAGTTTGTTTCGGGTCCCTATGAAGATCGACTTCATCGTTACTCCCTCGACCACAGTCCTCTCAATCGAGCAGTCGGAAGTTATCAGGGAACGAAGACCTACTGATAAACGATTTCAGGGGCTGAGCCACTCTTTTATTTTACAGAGATTTCAATAAAGAAACAACTGCTCTATCCCTGCTGGATGCTTCACTAAACGGCGGTGTCGAAAATCATGCCGAATCTAGAGAACTGAGGAGGAAGATGTCAAATAAGGTTAAGAATATTGTGCGTAAAACTGGGTCTAACTCGCAACAAAGCTCTTTCTTTTTGGCAGACGTTCGCATGGAATGCGATATCGGCAGTTTAAGAGTCACTGAAAGGTGAACCGGCGAGGTCCATGAATAGGGTCTGACACTAAATTCAAGAAGTGACGTTATTACCGACATATATAACATAGTCGTCGGGGTCCCGCTAACAAACAGGGCGGCAAACCACCAAACATATATGTTGACTAAAAACGCTCTGTCGCCATGAAGGGGGTTTTTGAGACCAATTCGTCTATGGCAAAATAAAGGATTGAAATCGACCTCAATCTCTTGTGAGCGTATTCGATCGCTTTCTTTCGGGATGACGAATATGATAACGTGCACTATACTTTCCGCCTAGGAAAGGCGGATGCATCGCAAGAACTGACATCAAGACTCCTTAAAGTCATCCCTGAAGATGACCAAAAAACACCTTTTACAAAGGAGGAGAAATCCAGTTGAAAACGGAATAGAAGACAATACAGATCAGGCAAGTGTTTCTATGGCGGACGCCTTTTTTCAATTAACGCAGGTTCCCACCGTGGAAACGCGCACAGAAGGCAATGTACTCAAGTGCACAGGCTCTGTTCAATAAAATGAGTGAACGCCGAAATTAAGTTAATGGATACAAACTAGATATCATTGAACTGACAGAAACATGACTTTCGCAAGCTACGGAAGGACAAACAGTAGCAGATTTTGTCAACATTCCACAAAAGACAGGAAAAGCCAACGAGGAGGGCTCATTATTCGCGTCAACTATAATTTAATACTAATCTCCGAACAGCACCAAATGACTCTGGAAGTGAAAATTTGCCTTTAAGTATCCCACTAAGTAATCCCAACCGTAAGTATTTGCGGTTACATACCGGCCCCCAACGGAATTGCTGGACGCGATGTCCTTCTTTATCAAAAGTGAGCAAAACCCATCCAAACAGGGATGTCAGTGTCGTTGACATACTCCCTATATCATGCGCCGCTGTGCGGTTGCTGGTTGGGCTCGAGAGAGAGCCCGTAAGGCGCAACGGAACGAGTGAGTTCCGTAAGAACGATCGGTGAGTGCCCCCTACTAGAGGGAATATGGTGCATGCGGTCTATGTTGACTTCAAGAAGGCTTTCGACAGTGTGCCCCATCATCGCCTTCTGTACAAACTCAGCAGCATTGGAGTGCGACGTAAGCCTCTGATGTGGATTCGAAGATTCGTATTCGGCCGCTCTCAAGCTGTCCCCGTCAGTGACCAGCAGTTTGCGGAGGTTGCCGTTAGAAGCGTTTTTCCCCAAGGCTCCGTTCTTGGTCCTACACTATTCATTATATATCTCAACGACCGTGCAAACGAAATGGATTGCGATGTCACAATGTTTGCTGATGATATAAAGATCTGGAGTACCATACTAAATGAAGTTGACGAAGCGCGATTGCAGATAGCCCTTGACCGCCTCTAGCAGTGGTCGAACGACTGACTTTTGCCGTTTGACGTAAACAAGTGTAACTTCCTACGATTCGGCGGACAGTTCTCCTAACCACATGGTCTATCGCCTGACTGGCAAAGCATTGCAAGTAGTCGATGTCCAGAAAGACTTGGGTGTGTGGATCACAATCTCGCCCAAACCTTCGCTGCACTGCTCAAAGGTAGCCAATTTGGTGATGTCCATCCTATAGCTCGTCAAACGAGCGTTCTCGTCCTTTGATAAAAACTGCTTCGTCAAGTTCTTTCGAACTTTTGCGCGGTCGCATCTGAAGTTTGCCATCCAAACATGAAGACCTTGGACCGCTAAAGACCTTAGAATACTCGAAAAAGTCTAACGGCGGACAACCAGACTTGCAACTTGACAAGGGTCACTTACCTACCAAACACGATTAGCTAATCCTGATCTCTTTCCTTTGAGTTACAGGCAGCAACGCCGTGACCATTTACAAGCTTTCTGCATCCTGCGCAATCAGGACTGCTGCCTCTTATCTAGCGACTTCGAGTCGGCGACTACGACTAACCTGAGGGGTCATCCACTCAAACTATGTGTGACCGGTGCCCGGCTAGACACACGGACGTTCTTCTCCAACAAAGTGGTTGCAGCGTGCGATGCTCTGTCTGCGGACTTTGTTATGTCTGAATCCGCAGAAACTTTTTAAAAGGAAGCTGTATCAAAATAGCAGTGTGCATTACAATGCCACCCGACAGAAGCCGTTTTGATAGCCTACGTTAACAACTCCATACTATCATGATCCACTATTTAAGTAACATTTCTCTATGTAGTTTAATAATTTTTGAACCCCGGCGCACATCACTTTTCGCATTTACCAAGACGCTTGCAGACTACAAATTTTCTTACTTATACTGTGGCCTATGTGTGCTTTAAATTCGTACCGTTTTTATCACCGAACCGAGTTCATATGCCTTCAAATACTGTTAACGCATGAAAAAATGTGCTCACCTGTAGAGTTGTTGGTCATTTCCTTGTATTTATTTTATGTTACTCCCTTTCCACTTTATCCATACACTTCCTCTGCGTAGAACAAATAGGGATTTCAAAGGTACACTCCTACTTTCCATCAAATAAACTAAACTGGGCTAAGCTGATAATATGGATCCAAAGTAGCATGCATCCCGAACCTTTATTATAAAGACAAACGAGGTCCAAAAGTTCCTTTAGCGACTGCTTCGTTTGTGATGCGGTAAAAACGAATTGATGTGTTTTGTTTACGGAGATGGTCTGTTCTTGTTTGGGCGTTGTTGTGTACTTGCAGAATCAACTGTCGGGGGTCACATCCCACTTCCTGTAGCTGCCTCCAACTCAATGCTCCCCTTGGTTCAGCCAGAAACTGATCGAGATTATATCGTCAGAGAAACCTTTCTTGACCAACCTTAATCAAGGATTTTGTCACATCTAATTTATCTAATTATCGTGTCTTTTATCATTACAATTTAATCAACTGTTCTCCGTTTCGTCCCTGCTGACGATTGACTGTTGAAATACTGTCTCATTATGTCTACCGAGTAATATGTTCAGTCCACTGAGGAACCTTCCTCAGTTGGCCGTCCATTGAAGGATGCTGAAGGAAGCGAAAATTCGAAACCTATCGAAGACAAGGAGAACAAGGATGTTACATGTTCACCAACATTCGCATGAGCAACTAGATTTCTCACGGAAGAAAGCAGAGTATTGCAATGTTTTGGTGTATATTACGCTACCCAATCGAAGTAACTTGACACTGTATGTGAGTGCAGTTCAGACACACATTTCCATGCCCTATCGACGGTGTAATTTAAGTATGGTTGTAGCGACTTTTATTGTTGATTTGACCTGCTGCGCTGAAGGAATGATGGCAAACAGTACGTATTAAAAGACGTAAGTTAAATATGGCAGTAGCGGCATGTGTTACCGATTGGGGCTGCACTTTTACTTGGCTAAACTTTTCATTTATCAGACGTGAACTTTACTCTCTATGCTGTTTTTGTTTTAATTGGTTTGTCGATCGTTTTGGTTTTGGAGGTTTTACAGGTAGGGGCGTGGTGTAGGTGCTGACACCGTGGTGCAACTAGCCGACACCAATATTGCCCTTTTTGACGGCGACCATTCGAGCAGTGACTTGTCTTGATTGAAGAAAACCCAACTCAAGCAAACCTGTAGGTTATTGTCGCCAGTCCAGTCGGTTAATCTTTCTATCCCGGCAACGTCGAAACCTTTATTTGGGCAGTATGCTGCAGCTTTTATTCGCTCCATTCATAATTTTGGCGTTTTGAGTAATGAAGTCAAGCTAAATATTAGCTTTCAGCACTCTGTTCCTACCAGTTTCTCATTTTTGTTTCAGGTTTCGATATTTAAGATCTAGTTGTCTGGCCAGTCCTCAGGGCTGCACCTCCCGACTCCCTTCTACCTCCTCATGGCCATTCTTGGTTTCCAACTAGTGTCTACTCTCGTTGGAATCAGTCTGCTGTCCAAATTTGCTACGCACTTTTCATTCACGCGTTTCTTCCTATGCAGTGGCGTGTATCGGTGCCTTTTACCAACAGATAAGGAGATACTGGAGAGTGCGGGCCTTACAAAAGTGAAATCTAAGGGTAAAATTCTGTTATTGTTGTAGTTGTAGACGCTTGTATGCGGTTTTATTGACTACAAATATATCATGACTAGTAGTCGTACCTACCTAATTTCTAACTCCGTGTGTAGCCTGAAGAAAAGTACAGCTTATTTCCCTGAGTGTTGCGATTTATGGTAGTATCGTGGGGAACCACGCTCACTGAGTACTAACTCAGAATTAGTGGTGGTCAGTTTAATGCTGAAGGCTCTGGCATCCATGACAAACTTCCAAAAGTTTTATTTAGGAAGCTGTGTTAGGAACTGTATGGATATTACGTTCCGCAGGCCGGTGGGCCGGATGGCCGAGCAATCATCACGCCAGCATCCAACACAGGTGATGAGATTTCAGCAATTAACAACATGCATGCCGGCCACCAAACAATTAGCGCACCAGCGGGCAACAATCCTCGATCAAGGGGAGAGTGGTCAATTAGCATAGGTATGCAGTAACATGGCGACTGCATCCTATAAATACTATAACTTCCTGTGCACGAAACACCCTCTCCTGTCACGGTCTCTGATGATGGGTTCAAGTGAGAATCCGAAACGCCAGGCGAATAAAGCCGTTGTTCCAGCGGTCGCTTCTGCTCATTATTACCGGTTTATCTTTCTTTTTTAGACAACTCATCGTTTTGACTTACCATTTTAATTAACTCGTTCTTGTACTTCACTCCTTTCCGGACCTATGGTTGCGGTGGTTCCATTTGCTATATTAACTCTATTGCCTCTTCAATGTAGTTGTCATACGCTCAATTCCAGGCTTTCGGAGAATCGCATATCGTGTCATTAGTGACGCAATAACTCCTAACTTCCTGTTTTCAAAGAAACGTCGTTCTGGATTTTTCTCCTTCACGACTGGAAATTTTGATCATTGTACATTAAACCGGCTGTTTGTACTGTAGTTACAAAATGATCGTTGTTTTTAAGGTCTAGTTGGCATAACACTGATTCATCCATCGTTTGTGAGCGTAGACTTCATATATTTCGTGTGGTTATTAGCTATCTCGGGTGTGATTTTGACTTACATGGATGCTTATACTCTTCTTGCTCTTGGACAGGGAAGAAGCACCGTGGGGGATTCGCTGGCGCAGGATCCAACACTAATTCTGCTAGCTTAAGTGCACACGTTGATAAATTCCACTTTCCTCGCGCTACGCCCCTCAAACTTCGTCTTGCCGCAGTTCATCTTGTCGAGCTTGCCTGCCTTCCTCTCTACTCTGAACTCGTCTGGCTTCTGGACTTCTCCGTCTGTGCTCTCTTCGTCTTTTTGACCAACGAACTGATCCTGGGCCTGCGCCAGGTCTCCATGTCGTATAATGTCACTGTGACGAGGAATAATAGTGACGGTGGTAGTGGTTTTTTCCTTGTGCACAGCTTCTTCACTCCGAGCACCATAAATGTGAGCCTAGTTTGGTGCGCTTTCTTAGTTTGGTTCTCGCTCGCCGCTCTTTTTTCCACCTTCTGCGTCTACGTTCACCCTAGAGGTGGCGATGGTAATGATGGTGAGGAGACCGTTGAGGGCTGGAAAAACGGAGTAATTGGTGCTGCTAGCAGCAATGGTGCCTTTTCAAACACAAAAATAGTCTCGGAGTGGCCTCTCCTCTTAACAACGGCCTTCTGTTCCTTTGTTGTTGCCATGTTCTGCATCAGTATGGACGGTCGGTGCTTTGACCTACAAATATATTCTGCCTACAGGAATGTCAGCCTTTCAGGCGGGCAGGTAGCAACTTCGACCCTAAGTTGGGGCGTGTTTCAGGCCACACTTGCCCTAATGGCCTCCCTAATTGGGATGCTGTTTGCTTTCCCTGGGCTCCAGACTGGCAGAGTGTACCTACAAGCAATCACGTGAGTATACGCTTGCGTTACACGCGCGTTTTTGTAATTCGCATCACATACACCCTGATTTTTTACTGTGCTGTTATTTTGTGTCTCCATCCTGCGTTCTCGAATTGGGGATATCAAGAGGGTAATAGTTATCTCCTTTTTTATGATCACTACTAATGGCCTGATCGTTGTGTACGGCGACGTCCACCGTGCGCCCTTCGGTGTGGCCGCAGGGCATTGACTTACGCGTGGATTAATTTCGTGAGGCAGATTTGCGTAGCATATACTGCACTCCCTCCTCCCTTGCCCACCTGGCTCCAATGGCAAGACAGTGTCAAGACGGCGCGGGTGAACTCAGTCGCAGTAACTGATAGAGCTACACATCTCGTCTACGCCCACCATACACGATCTGGTCCCCGCATAATAGACTAGGCCTTCACAAGAACGACTCACTTTTAACATGCATGAAAGTGCCATAGAAGCTGCGTTAAGAAACAACAGTTGTAGACTAACTCTCCTCCCTGAAAAGGAACAAGTTACCCCTTGAGTTGCCGGCTACTGCTTTTAGTGAACCGTGATGGATTGGAGCCCCTCAGACTTAATATAGCGAGGGGTGCGCCAATGTGTCGTAGGGATGAATTTCCCTGTGCCGGCCTCACTCTTCCCCCCCTCCCATGTGCCAGTCAACTGGTGCTGTGATCAAACGCAGTGTTGGACGCAGCTTGAAGTCCAACCTCTAGGCTTGCTACTTTATCTCCCATGTATGGTGTCATGCCAACATAAGCCCTTGGCTAAATTCCATCTTATCTACTACTTTCCTATTTCTCGTTCTAGCCCCAGTACGTCAGTTGTAGGATGAATAAAGCCCTTCAGTTCAGTTCAGTTTATTTGAGGGAAATATAGGTGTTAAACCTTTGAACTCCCTATTTGTTACAAGGAGGCGAACAATAAAAAAAAAATTTGAAAATTGGAACATCAAACGGCTACAGAGTTTCTTCAGATTGGCAACGTTTTGTAAGCCAGACAGATAAACGAATTGTTCCAAGAGTTAAAAACATTAACGTTACTAAATGTGCTGTACAGTAGTCTGTCTAGGGATAGTTGGTGCTATCTCAGTTTCGGAGGGAGACGAATTGAATGCCAACACACATTTAACAGACATGGGACAATATTAAAAAAACAAACGTTACTGAAATATGGGAAGTAATATCACAACATTAATAAACTGTTCGAATGAAATGCTAGACAATCTGTCAGGTGGCATTGTGACGATTGGTGGCAATCTGGTCCAAGTTGCGCTTAAAAGCCTCGACGGAGGTGGACATGACGACACCTGCAGGCAGAGCATTCCAGGCCTCGATCACTCGAGTGTCCAGCTTGGCGCCAGTTACGCGTAGTTTAAGTGGATGACCTCGGAGGTTATAGGGTATTCTCGTTCTGACTCCTGCATCCATATTTCTTCGTCCTCTCCATCTTGTGTGCTTGCTATGGCTCTAGGTACAACAATTTATTCATCTTACAATTCCAAAATGGATCGATTCCTTAAGCCAGAGCGATTCGATGCTGATCCAAATGGTCAAGACGCTTCTATGCAGTGGAGTCATTGGTTTCGCACTTTTGAAAATTTCTTGTCCACGATCGGTAACCTGAAACCGGATAAATTAGGCGTTCTTACTAACTACGTTTCTCCGACAATCTGGGAATACATTAGTGAATGCTCCAGTTATAAAGAAGCTGTTAAATTGCTGCAAGATCTTTACGTAAGACCTAAGAACGGAATTTTCGCCCGCCATCTTCTGGCAACCTACAGACAGGAAGGTGGACAAATCCTCGACCAGTTTGCTCAAAAGCTAAAATCCTTAGCTAAGGATTGTGATTTTAAAGCCGTTACGACAGGACAAAGATGCGTTAATCAGTGGCCTTTCATCAAACCAAATTCGGCAGAGGTTATTGGAACAGAAGACTTTGGAATTCCAAACTGCCTTTGATCAGGCAAGGTCACTGGAATTGCTAGAAAAACAATCCCTGTCGTATCAGAACCCTCCGACGACCTCATTTTCTCCCGCAACCGAGCCATGTGAAGCTTCGCCGAGTCCCGTTAAAGAGCCTGACCTAGTGGCTTCTACTTCATTCCATAGCAAATGTTTCTTTTGTGGATACGACAAGCACCGCCGTTCGATGTGTCCCGTACGCGATGCGTTATGCAAAGGGTGCGGTAAGAAAGGGCATTTTCAAAAGGTGTGCCTAGCATCACGAAACCGAAAAGCCTTCTCTTCCGCTATGTATCCCTCCATTTCTGCCGTGGTATCAGCTGCTGTTCTCGACTATCTTTTAAGTGTAGTAGTTGAATTACAAATAATGTGACTAATTTTCAGGCCCTTATTGACACAGGCAATTCTGAAAGTTACATTTCTTCCTCAGTGGTGCTCTGAAATAAGTGGAAGGTTCATAACTATGGCACTAGAATATCCACGGCTACCACATCCTTAACCAGCGCCACGCAAATGCATATTGTTGTCACTATTAAATCTAAAGTACAGTATACCAGAAGGTCAAGCCATCGGTCTTGCCGAATTTGTGCGCCGATGTTCTACTTGGACTCTGACTCCACAAAAGTGTTGAAATCCCTTTTGGTGGACCTAAACCTACGTTCTCGCCTTGTTCTGTTGCTGCCGCTTGCGTCGAGCCTCCCCGTTTGTTTCCTAATTCGACACCAAGCTGCAAACCTATCGCTACTAAATCTCGCAGACACACCAATATGGATGAGAGATTTTATACGAGAAGAAATTCGTCGCCTTCTTTCTGAGGGTGTAATTGAGCATTTATTATCCCCTCGGCGAGCCTAAGTTTTGGTCGTAGCCAATGAAAACTACAAAAGCGGATGGTTGTCGATTATAGCCGAGCGATCAACAGATACTTCTAGATGCCTACCTCTCCCCCAGAATGGACGAAATGGTTGAACGTATTGCAAACTACGACACGTACAGTGCGTGACCTATCTCATGAAATGTTGGCTGAAATTCTGAAATGCGTTTTCGATTACGAAGGATTGCTTGGTCGCGGTTGTGGTAATGATTATCATAAGGCATACTCTTATAACATTTTGGACTCGGTAGGATGTCGGCATTTAAAGGCACTTCTTTTCAATCTCCTGTAGAAAGCGTGCTCGGTAAAAAATGACTACTTAAATAGCATGCATTTTTTCCATTGATTTTCGACGGTCTTGGAAATTCAAATAAATTTTATAGAAACCACAAACAAAATGTGCTTTCTTTTAGTCAATCAATAGAGAATCACGTCTTATTTATATTTTATACTTAAGGAAGGAGTATAATTAGGTTTTAAAAAAGTTTTCTAATTGCCGAAAAATTTGGAGCCTGATCATTCGTTGCATTAGCGCTTAGTTATTACACTCTACAAGGTGCATGCGTTCCGCGTAAAGAAAATCCCATATTTTTCTATGCCATTAAAGAGATATCATACAGCGTCCATAAAATTTTGCAATGGATGCGGACTATGTTGTACATTTCATGAGGAGCAGTGGTAAACGGCCAGGTACGATGCTATGTGAATGGACACATCGCGGTCTCAAAAAGTCTCATTATTAGAAACTTTTTAAAACCTAATTATACTCCTTCCTTAAGTATAAAATATAAAGAATACGTGATTCTCTATTGATTGACTAAAAGAAAGCACATTTTTGTTTGTGGTTTCTATAAAATATATTTGAATTTCCAAGACCATCGAAAATCATTGGGAAAAATGCATGCTACTTAAGTAGTCTTTTTTACCAAGCACGCTTTCCACAGGAGATTGAAAAGACGTGCATTTTAAAGCCGACATCCTGCCGAGTCTAAAATGTTATAAGAGTGCCTTAAGATAATCAGTATCACAACCGCGACCAAGTAATCCTTCCTAATCAAAAACGCATTTCAGAATTTCAGCCAGCATTTCATGAGATAGGTCACGCACTGTATAGCACTCTTGATCTCAAGAGCGCCTATCACCAGATACCCATCCGGATAGAGGAAAGACCGTACACTGCCTTTGGAGCTTGTGGACGTTTATATCATTTTTGTCGTATCGCGTTTGGTGACCAACGGAGTTGCGTGCTTCCACCGGACCATTGACGACATAATTGCGCGCGAACATCTGGAGAATATTTTCGTCTACGTTGACAATATTACTATATGTGGAGACAGCCTCGCGGAGCATGATTCAACCCTTCGAAAATTCCTTAGCGTTGCTGAAAAGTACGAACTACCATTCAATGAAGCCAAAAGTGTTACGCTACTAAATAAATCCAACTTATTGATTACGAGGTTTCAACGGGCAACGTTAGGCCGGATCCGGATCGTCTAAGGCCTTTGCGTGAAATGACTCCTCCACAAGACCTTTAGTCTCGACAACGTGCTGTGGGACTGTTTGCATACTACTCACAATGGATATCTCGCTTTTTGGATAAAATTCATCTGCTCATCCATAGCAGAACTTTCCCCTTACCATTGAAGGTAATGGAAGCGTTTGATGCTCTTAAGGAGGAACTAGCCTTGTCTACGTAGCTGCGAAGATCTTCGCTATTGTCCTACTCAGGCGATTCCAGGCTGTGCGTGACTCAAGGGCGAGGCCCAACCAGGCCGGATTTCGTGCTGGACGTGGATGCGCAGACCAGATATTCACACTGAGGCGCATTCTCGAATTTCGCCATAGCTACCAACAACCGACGGCCGTCTGCTTCATTGACTTTTCCGTCGTGTTTGATTCCGTCCATTGCGAGTCCCTGTGGCGGATAATGGCGCTAGATGGTGTATCGGCAGAAATCGTCGCCATGATCAAGGCCTATTATCGCTCTACTACTGCGAGAGTCCTGGTCCGCAACAATATTTCCCAACCGTTCGATATTCGGTCTGGCGTTCGACAAGGTTGTGTCCTGTCACCCATTCTGTTCAACTACGCTTTTGACTATCATGCATCTGTCCAGTCTGTCCTTCTCTACGGTTGTGAATGCTGGACTTTGCGGGTGGATTACGAACGAAAACTGGAGGCATTTTACCACCACTGCTTGAGGACCATCCTTCGAGTGAAGTTCACCGACTTCGTCTCAAATGAAATAGTTCGCGCTCGCAGCGACAATATCGCAAGGATAATTCAGGCCATCCCAGAAAGACGACTGAAGTGGTTCGGACATGTTCTTCGTCGTCCACCTCAGGAACTCAGTGTTACTGCCCTCGATCCGGCACCGTTGCCCCATTGTAAGCGTCGAAGAGGGGGTCAGTTCAAAACCTGGCTCGACACAGTTCGTCAAGATATGGAGGAGCTTCTTGTACCTTCGGTATTCGGTCTCCGTCGTTGGCGAAGGGAATGGGTTGAGTTGTCCAGATCTGCTGCCGCGGATCGTCACGCGTGGAGAGGTACAGTTCGTGACATGATCGAGGCTGGCTCGATCAGGCATGATCGCAGCCGTATTAAGTACAAGTAAGTACAAGTTGAGGAGGAACTTGCAAAAGCCGCAGTGGTCACTGTTCGGTACGATACCTCATTAGTTGTCGAGACCGATGCTTCAGACGTCGCAATCGCTGCCACAGTAAATTAGGATGGCCTACCAGTAGCGTTCTTTTCTCGTAGCCTTTCTTCAAATGAGCGACATCATTCAGCTGTAGAGAAAGAAGCATACGCCGTAGTGGAATCCATAAGGAAATGGAAGCAGTTCCTCCTCTGTAATCACTTTACACTCATCACAGATCAGCGTTCTGTTGCCGTCATCTTCGGCAATCAGCAAAAAAGGAAGGTCAAGAGTAATAAGATCAAACTCTGGAAGTCGGAGCTGTCACCATTCAAATTTGACATTGTCTACCGACCTGGTAAAGAAAATCGAGCGGCGGACACGCTTACTTGTAATTGCTGTGGTGCCCTACTAACCAGTGTCAATCTGAAAGAACTGCACGAGTCACTTTGTCCTCCCGGTGTCTCTCGGCCTTCGCACTTTGTTGGAGCTCGGAATCTCCCCTTTTCAATAGAAGAGATTCGTAATGTCGTCTCTAAATGTCAGGCTCGTTGTCAAGTCAAACCCCGTTTCTTTCAAAGCCATCCAGCCGTTCGAACGATTGCCACTCGACTCCAAAGGTCGTCTTCCGTCGGCAACTCACAACCGCTATCTGCTAACGATTGTTGATGAATGTTCTCGTTCCCCGTTTGCGTTTGCCCGTCCTGATCGGACTGCCGGAACTGTTATTAGATGTTTGTGTCAACTCTTCTCCGTTTTCGGTACTCCTTTGTACTTACACACTGACCGGGGATCGTCATTTATGTCAGATGAAGTTTAGCTATTCCTTCGCAGTAAGGGAGTGACGACGAGTAGAACAACTCCGTACAATCCCCAAGGAAATGTTCAGGTAGAACGTCTGAACACATGGCAGTAGTTATTGGCATGTGTGGACCGTGTGCAGCCCAAGTAACGCGTGCCATGAAATAATTTCAATCCATTTCGGTCCATCGCGTCCAGTTCGGAGCTTGTTCTGTGTGCTGCAACCTTCATTCTTTTCTTATTTTCCCTTCTTATTGTCAAATCCTGCGACAAGTAGTCTACTAAACGGTGCTGTTACGGTCTGCACAGACAGCCAGTTCAGGTTGTTGCTTAGTGTTTATGGCTTATCCATTGATAGAGCGATGCCACCTTCCTTCCACAAGGTTCAACTCTGCAAATGTTGACCACAAATATTGAATAATTGTGGTCGGACAGTGTACCCACCTCGACTTAGGGCAGTACCCCAACCTACACGGACAGGACTTCCACGTTACCCTCCACTGCTGCTGCCCATTCTTCCATTTCCGACAGTGACGTTTAATTAATCACTTTGGCTGCTTACCGATAATGTAATCGGATCGACGTAGTCTTCTTGTTTTTAGGAAGGTTTCAAGGGAGATATTTTCTATATCCGTTCGGCCAGGTGCAGGGCAACTCAGATACCAGCTTTTCACGATTCCTCGAGTTGCGAAGACTAAGCTTTGCAGCCCTAAGTCAACGCGGGTTTTGACGGTAGTTTTGGACGTGAAAGCTATTTACTGGCCATGCTAACGTCCCCTACCACAACCTCTTAGCTGGTGAAAGGTGCCAGGGCACGGTCATTTGTGTTGTTCTTTGCCGACTGATAGAGGAAAAGTGATTCAGGTTTCTTAATATCCTTCGACACTACTATCTTGACTTCATTTGTGCACATTTCTTTTTACTGAGTCGTTTGTAGGTGCATTCGGACTTATCACACAGAAGCGTTTTTTGTCGTGATTCATGAGAATCTCTTGGAAAAAAGACATCCTAGGCCTAAGTTGAATAAACAATTAAGAAGTGTCTTCAACATCCACGTCCGGCCGGCCTACGATTAGTGGACAAAAGTAAAACCTGATTTCCCTCATAAACGTCTAGTGTGGCTTTGGTTTTAGTCTCATTTCAAAGCGAGTTAAGTACTCGCTTTCCAGCTACAGAATGCCCCTTCCTGTGACTGTGAACAACAAATACATACAAAATTATCTTACCATCGTTGTTGCCTTGTCGATAATTCTGCTGTTGTTTTTCTGTTTCCATTGGCATTTTCTTCGTGTCCGCCCGCAATAGGAGCTGCGAATCAATGGTGGCCCGAGTGCTTTTTCACCTCAATTTCATTGCTCCCTTCTTTGCACTTCTACTTTGGGTATCGCCCGTAATCTCCCAGATTTCACCTACGCTTCTGGAGTCGGCGCAGACCAACTTCCAGCGCTTCGGTCCTCGGTGGACTTCCTTAGCAGTTGTTTTGGCTAGAATATTTTCGGCCGAAAATATTTGCAGCCTCCGTTTGGCGGCCTGTGTTCTGGTCCTCTGCCTGCGTCTCTTCATGACTAGACGACATATGCAGGTCTGTACTTTTGACACCCGCTTAAACTGTTGGGAGTTTTACACGCCCGTCTGCCCAGGGACGCCTGCGTCTTCACTACTTCATTCATGTCCTTTCTTTTGTGGCTTCTTCCTAAAGCTGATTATGAGGTAACTTAACCAGGTTTTAAGATTCCAAAAATTTAACTGACATCCTTTCTGGACCTAAGCTTCCAGTAATTTTGGTCTCATCTTTCGATTGATATTTAGTGGGAGCTTGTTATGAGGAGACTTGGTTTCATGTTAGACATTAAGAAAAGTAGCGAGGAGGGACGACAGAGAATGCGGGTAGATTGATACAGCACTGTTTCGGGCTTATTCTGCCTTCATTCAGCCAATCATAACCCTGACCACCAGCAGCTGAGACCAGATTGATAAACACCCGATCTGCAGCGACAGAGAATGACAGGTGGCGAGGCACTGATGAACTTCGGTTCGATGAAGTGCTTATGACCCATCTGGTAGGCCTCAGTGCTGGACCGACTGCGCCAGGTGCGTCTGTGCGCATGTTTGTGTTTCTGGTCTCAGCTGCTGGTGGTCAGGGTTATGATTGGCTGAATGAAGGCAGAATAAGCCCGAAACAGTGTTGTATCAATCTACCCGCATTCTCTGTCGTCCCTCCTCGCTGCTATTATGACTTGGCCGACTTCGGCCTGGTAATTGGTTGCCTGTTCGTGACCTTTGCCACACATACGGAGCTTGTTTGCTTTGTGAAGCCAATAGATCGGTGTGCGCCCATTCCTGATTGGTAAACACCCGATCTGCAGCGACAGAGAATGACAGGTGGCGAGGCACTGATGAACTTCGGTTCGATGAAGTGCTTATGACCCATCTGGTAGGCCTCAGTGCTGGACCGACTGCGCCAGGTGCGTCTGTGCGCATGTTTGTGTTTCTGGTCTCAGCTGCTGGTGGTCAGGGTTATGATTGGCTGAATGAAGGCAGAATAAGCCCGAAACAGTGTTGTATCAATCTACCCGCATTCTCTGTCGTCCCTCCTCGCTGCTATTATGACTTGGCCGACTTCGGCCTGGTAATTGGTTGCCTGTTCGTGACCTTTGCCACACATACGGAGCTTGTTTGCTTTGTGAAGCCAATAGATCGGTGTGCGCCCATTCCTGATTAAGAAAAGTGTTAATTTTCATGTTAGCCGTTTGGTTTGCATAATTTGATAACTTCAAAAGTATCCGCGGCAAAGCGGTAAGATTTCCTTCGTCGGTCTCATTGGTTGTGGCGCTGCAATAGGCCTCGTCCACTTCCAATTGTTATTGCTACAAGGGTTGTCACTCGCAGTCTCCCTTTTAGGAGATGAAACTGATGTAGGGATAGGGGTGCTGTGCACAACTTACGTTGCAGTCAAGCTCAATTCGTAATTCCGCTGGGAAACTCCAATACTAGGGTCACACGTGGTGCATGGTGGCGAGAAGGGCTTGCGCGGCGTACTGTCGAGCGGATACGACCTGTAAGCACACCCACCGTCCTTATACACCAATATCGGCTGCCGAATAGCGAGATAAAGTAGTCCCCTACTTGCTGCTGCCAGAGTTAGTTGGAAGGCTCCCTGGCTGTGACCTGCCGATTGTTGCAGGGGACTGGAACGGCCAGCCTGGGCTCAGCGACTCCTCTAACAGCTGATCTGAGGCGACTGTCATTCACACGTGATATTGGTATCGTCACAAACATCTGCCGACCTTGTGTTTAAACGATGGTCGTACGGTCAGTCATATCGACTACATCCTAGTTGGTTCTGTTATAAGCTTGCCGCCAATCCCCACAAGTTAAAGCGGGATGAGATGTGTATTGTCGTATTCTACATTGCATTTAAGGCAAAAAACATACGGGAATGTCCAAAGTCGGTCTGAAATGCGACCAATCAGATAACGCCCTTAAGGGGTTAGCATGCCGGCTGGACTTCAGACCCATCTGATTGGCTGGGTAAACTTCCAATCCTGTCGGGAGCTGGCGCGACGACAGCACGCGGATCGTTAGGACGGCTTCCTAACACTTCCATCGTTTTGAGTTGGGTGGTATGACATGAACCGCGGGTCCACTTGCAATGGTACCGTTTAGTCTTTGGTCCGACTGTTTGGGTGCTTGAAGAGATCGTCTTAACACAGTAGCCGTAGTTTCTTGCCTTGATTTTTGGCAAATAGAATGTGTCCAGTAGTAGTTACATTGGTAGATTTGGGCCTGGATTTGGCACGTTACCAGTTTCCCTCAGCTGAATGGTATGGCGCACCCAGATGTCTGGTCCTACCAGAATTCCGTAAACAGCGTCACCAAATTTTCGGTGAACACATCCAAACGTCCACTTCCCGATTGCCTCTGTAGTCTTTTGCCAGCACCTCACCCGGATGGGAAGTCCATGACTAGTTGAATTGTCTTTCATTCGATGTCGGACAGGATGTTTCACGACCAACATTCCGTCGTCCTCCGGCAGATGCCGTCCGACAAATTACGTTGAATGGTATGCGAAGCTCCCTCTGCGTCTGAGCCTCGGTGGGTGAGGTGCCATTTGACGAATGTGGGTTAAGCATTTCTCGAAAACTTCCGTATTCCCCTCCTCTTTTGACGTCTGGAGAGCCCTCTTGAGCGTGTCGACAAGTCGCCCAACCTGTCTGTTGGACTGCGGATGATATAGTGGCGAAGGCTAGGTATTCACGCCCGACTGGTCGCAGAATCGGGCGTAGGAGACTGATATGAATTGCCCTCAATTATCGCTCACCAAAGTTCCGGGATAACCAAATCTGCTAAACAGTTACCGAAGTGTAACTGTGGCCCCGGTTGTCGTGTGCTCCATGGGAAAGTCTTCCGGCCATTTGTTTTATGCGTCGAAGGCGATAAAGAAGTTTTGACCACTAATTGCTCCAGCGTAACCGATGCCAACCCTGGATCACGGGTCTTGTGGGATAGGCCATACCTTGAGTGCTGTGGAGATGGAGACACGATCGCTGGAACAAGTGGAACGGTCGTGTCTCCTCCGCGACTACTGCCTAGAACTCGCCTCCTCGCCTCTATTAGTACCTTGGGTGTTGTCTTCCTTGGCGCCTTTGGTGTGAGGGCGCATTTAGTGCACGAGTAAGCCAGCCGTTTCAATTGTTGGTCCATGTGAAACCAGTACACATAACTGCGAGTGAGAGCCTTCATGCCGTTGGGTCCCAGATGCTTAGTGTAAAACTGCTTCAAGACTTGCTTGCAGTTTCTGTCGATCAGCATCTTCATAGGACAGGATACAGTCGTTAACGGTGGGCGGAGATTGCTGTCGTTGGTGAAGCTGTCGGAGTTCTCGGAAGGTTTCGCGGGTTACTGAGTGCGATAGTACTTGGTGTTTGCCGTAACAGTGGTTCCTGTTGTGTTGCGTTTTGGAATTAATAAAAGTGGCTGCGAGTGCACGATTGGAGTCCGTGAACAGGTTGTGAGCTTCTCGCTCGACGGAAGCGGGCAATATGATTAGGTGCGAGAGGGCATCTGCCTGACCGATGTTCGGAGTCAGTTGGTACCGCATATCGAAGTCGTATGCAAACAGCATGATCGCCCAACTCTGAAGACGATTTGCGGAGTACAGGTGGGTGCTTTTTTCCGACCTGGAAATTTCAAGAAGCTTATGGTCCGTTAGAAGGGTGAAGTGACGGCCATGAAGCGTCTTGTGAAACTTAAAAGCGAGGTTAACAGCCAAGGCCCTTTTTCAATTTGTCCGTGGTTACGTTCCGCATACATTAGTGACCTTGCTGCGTGAGGAATAGCCTTTTCTGTGTTATTGGGAATGACATGTGAAGTTATGGCTCCAATTCCTTAGTTGGAGTTGTCCGCCGCAACGACGATCCCCAGGTCGGGGTCAAAATGCGTAAATAGCAAGTCAGAGCTCAAAATTGTCTTCACGTCTTCCGAGCCCGCGGTCCATACTGAGTGGTTCACTAGTTGGCGAACATTATCTCGCCGAAGGTGCTGTAGTTCTTGTTCGACAGCTATGAGTGCAACATAAGGCACTGATCGTTTTGGTCGGAATACAGGTTTTGCATTGGACTAAAGACAGAGACTGACTTACATCCTTGTGCAGCAACCAGGACCTTGAGAAAGTGAGTCGAATTTCTCCTGTAAGTGGACGTCAGCCCTACAGCCAGCTGATGCGATATAGCGGGACTCCGCCAAGATAACTACTAAGTATTGCAAACACGATTAAATGGCGCTTCAAGAAGGCCCAATTTTTTGATCCAGTCGAGGCCGAGTGTATTAAGGTTCGGACGATCGGTGAGGTAGCATCTTCCCTTGAATGCCATCAAGGGAGACGTCACATCCAAGCTCACTCGTGAGCCGGAGAATACCTCCAGAAACATTCAACGCCTTTTGCTTGCTGTGATCATCGGAGACTGTCCAATCATGTACTGAGTACGCTTAGAGATTGGGATGACGTTCGAGGCTTTATTTAGTTAAAGGCGTACTCGTGTGTGAGGTGGCCTGTTTCAAACTAAACCCGACAGTAGTTTTTCCGCAGGAATAGACATTGTGAATTCTGCGTCGCCAACTTGTTGTGGACCTACGCACGCCCCACTGATCGCCCATCCAACAACTCGGTCGAATCCCCAAATCAGAACCCGACAGTAGGATCGGAAAGACGATGCGTTGTTGTATTCTACAGCGTATATAAGGCAAAAAAGGAATATATGGGAACGTCCAAGGTCGGTTTAAAATGCGGCCAGTCAGGTAGTGCTCCTGAGTGGTTAGCATGTCGGCCATTCTTTCGACTTATCTGACTCGTTGAGTAAACCACCAATCTTGCCGGGAATTGGCACGGCATCAGCACACTCACGGCGTCCCAACACGTCTAAGGTTCCGCAGCTGGGTTCACGATAGCAGGTCGGTGCGTGGTGCCGACACTGGTGACGCCCATGGGTCGGACTGTATTCTCGTTCGCTCACGCCCGACACTTCGTCTCATCTACATCGAGAATGCCACGTGCGAGATGCCTTGATGTCGCAAAACTTCGACAATCCAACACCACTGAAGCTATGACCACAGAAATCTTGTCTCGTTTTACGACCCGGGCTGACGGCGAGAGCAGTATCGAATGACCATCTTTGATGTCATCAGCTTTGGGGCAATTAAGAAAATTTTTTGGACAACTCGCCGACGCTGCAGTGACTGGATCAGTGGAAGAACCTCTCAGTTGTCTGCCCAGAAGACTCGAGTCAGGTCCGGCAACGACTATTCCACCAACTTCGGAAAATGGCGGCAAACTCAGTAATAACCAGCATAAACATTGGATTGAAACAGCGACCTTCGCGTAGTTTTATACCCTTCCAGGCCATGCAGTGTAATCGGGAAAATTGTGGATGAAACACAGACGTTGTTGAAATGTATAGGTCTTATGTCGACAGCCGCCCTGGCTCTATGAGGTAATTCAGTATGCGTGGGAAATGAGGCCATTCCTGATTACTGAGACTCGGGCATCCTCGCACCTATCTTCGAGGGAGATATGACAAAGTGCGGGAATTACCGCGGGACAAACGCCATCGAGGTTTCTGCAAGGGTCTTTGTTAGTGTCCTTCGCAGGAGATTCCAGGGTGTGCGGGACTGGGTCGAGACCCAGCCCCGCCGGTTTCTGAGCTGGGTGTGGATACACGGACTACATAATCGAACGGCGGCGCATTCCTAAATTTCATCATGGCTACGAGCAGCCTACATCAGTCTACTTTGTTGACTTGACCGCCGCGTTTGGCTCCGTCCATCATAAGTCCCTGTGGCGGATAATTGAACTAGATGGCACACCTTTAGAAGTTATTAAGGACTACTAGGGGAGTTCTGGTCTATAACGATCCGTCCTGATCTGCGTGTACGACGCATCCGTCCGGCTATTCCTCATATACGACTGAATGCCACGCCATGCGCGTGGAAGATGAACGAAAGTTGGGGGATGCTTGACTACCGCTGTCCAAGGGCCATCCCTCGAGCAAAGTTCACCGACTTTGTTTCAAACGCGACAGTCTGCGCTCACTGCAACATCGCAAGGATCTCTGAGGCTATCCAAGAAGGACAATTGAGATGGTTTGTGTAGGTTCTTCGTCGTCCCCCTTATAAACTAAGTGTTGCTGCCATCAGTCCGGACGTCGTTGCCCACCACGAGGCAGGGAAGAGTTCAACTCAAAGCCTGGCTCGGCACAATCCTTCAAGCCATAAAAGTGGTTCACGGAGCTTCGGCATTCAATCTCCGTAGCTGGACGAAAGAATTGTTCAAGATGTTAAAATGCGTTTCCGCAGATCGTCACGCGTGGTGAGGTACAATTTGCGACATTGAGGCCCGATAGGTCTGGCACGAGCACAGCCATGCCAAGTACTGGCCGACTATTATGGGGACGGTGATTTGTGCGTGATGAACGTTCAACGTAAAGTCGGTCGAACCAGTCATGTTCGATGCCGCCACAAGTATCAAGTCGATAGCACCAGGTCGAGTGCGATGTTTTTGTCTTCGCCAAAACTGGTTTAAATATTGCTAATGGAGCATAATAATTGTCACGAAGGGCAAGTGAGGCCGGTGTTGCAAAATCTTACCAATGTACGTCCATCCGCTTGCAAGTCACCATCTCCCCGGACGCTGGTTTTCGTTCGGCACAATAGGCGTACTCACAAGTCCTGAAATATTTCGGTATTATTATACTAGTGGAATTCACTTTTCATCGTATATATTCCCTTGTTTACCCCTTCCTACCCCATACCATCGTACACTTCATCCTACAAAAACTTGCAGCATCAATTTTGTTTTAAAATCACTTAGGCATACCTAGGAACGGCTCAGTCGCGCATTGACAAACTGAACAACGAGCCGGGGCGAATCTCTAATTTTGAGGTTCAACGCCTGGTTGCTAGCGTTTTCCACTGTTTCAACTTTGCCGCGTTGCAGTACCTGGCACCTACCCTACTCACTATCGGCCTTGTCTGCTCTTACAAAACTACCACTGGCACGCCTTGGTTTCCCCTTGGCCTTACCACAACATCTGCATCGGCGTCTTCTGGTGTCAGGGTGCGCCAGCACTCTTTAGATTCCGTCCTTGCCATCTTTTCTCAGCATGATTGGGACTCCATCTCCACTGCACCTTGGTTTGCGGCCATACAGGAGACGCGGGAGGCCTTTGGTGAGATCTTAGACTCTCTGCGATACCCGGCACGGCACGCCTGTCACGGCATCCTAGGCTTCCTGCTCTGGTGGACTCTCGCATCGTGGCAGGCCATCACAAGCACTGGGATGGCTTATTATCGGTTTCTTGACTAATCAACATGCTTCGTTTCCTTTACTTCCCGCTACCTGCGCATTTGTACGTTTCTAGCTTGATGCTAACCAGTAGTCAAATATTTGCCAGCTGGGATTTTCGACAGCTTTATTTATCAACCGTTACCAGTATTTTCTTAGACATTTGTTCATAGTGCTCATCTGGTTTCCTATCCATCGTCATATTCTTGACCAGTATTACTCTGTAGCAGTTTAAAGTTACTAGATCATCTCGTTTTGCGTCTTCTTGGAGAGATCTCCTTTAAAAAGGGACAATATTTGCCGCATTACCCACCATCACTCAATTCTTCAAGGTTAATTTTCTATATCACACATCGGGCGAGACAGAAAACGCCCTATTTGAGAAGGACACGCAGCAGCCGATTAGAGTGTTAATAGGCGCCCAACCGGCGTACGTAAGGGACGCCACCAAGTCGTACTCCATAGTTTAAAGGTGTCAGTGCTGCTATCTCACGGAAAAACCGGCCTACTTTGGGAGAGGTAACGCATCTGAGTGGGGGGCGCTCTTAGTGTCGCTGCAGTTTGCTATCACAGGCTTCACATTGATCTACAGTAGCTGTTCTACCTAGTGAACTGTTGACGTGGACCCTAGAATGTGTTTTCGACTAGAAAGGGGTACTTAGGTGGGGTTATAAGATTGATTGTCGTGCAGTAGACTCCCAAGGTATTTTATTCACGCCGGGATCCCGGCCGCCTGCAAAAGTTTATTCGATTAGCATGGATTTTTGGCTAGATCGCAGTTGGTAGCCGGGAATGGGGAAGCGGACGGCAACCTTAACCCTGACCTCAACCCTAAATGTTAACTGTTAACCTTATCGGCAACCCTAACCGAAATCGTAAACGGAACCGTAGTCCTTAGACATAGCCCTAACTGAAAGACCTAACGGTAATGCTGAAACCTAATCTTACGTTCAAACCCTAACCGTAGGCGGGAAACCTGAGCCTAAAGGCATAACCATAGCCCGAAGATCGGAAACCATTAACCGTTACCTTAACCTCAAACGTAAAACAGAAGCCAAATGGGTCTTATGTGATTATCGAATCCCACAAAATAGTCCCGGCAAACAGCCCCGCCACCTTTAATACGCGACCCGGCTACCAACTGCGCTCTAGCCTTCGGCCTGACTATCAACATGGATAAAACGGTGGTCATGCACCAGCCGTCACCTAACATGCAACAGTGCACTCCTTGAATCTATAAGAAATAAAGCCGTCTGTCGCGAGTAGAGCGAGAAAAAATAACGTCATAAGAATGCAGCGTAGGGATAACTTGCTGTTAAAAGTTGTGCCGATACTTTTCACAAGTCGTATTTTTGGTGCACTGAAAAAAAACGCTTTTCCGTGTCACTACAATGCTCCCCTTGCCAAGAGAGCAAATTTCGAGTGTGAATTTGATAAGTGTTAGGCATAATGTACAAGTTGGTAACGATCAGGGAAACGTATACGACGACCGCTGCGCGTAGCCGGTGGAATTGGGGGGGAAGGGGAGGGGAATGCACAGGGTTATCAGGTGGAAGCGGAGGTAGGGAAATCGAAGAAGGCATTGCGGCAGGTGAAGATGGCTGATCCGTTGGGGGTGGGCGAAAGAGAGACGGCATAGGCCACCTTCGGCCGACCGATTGATACGACTTCGGTGTGATTGTCACGGACGATTTTGAAATGCTTGTCCGTGCGCCACAAGACTCGAAGTGGTCCGTCGTAGGGTCATTGCAATGGCTTACGAACGCTATCTACGCGGACAAATACAAAAGAACACGTTAGCAGATTAGGGCTAATATATGACTTACTTGCTGGGACGCGTGGAAGTATGGTCCGGAGACTAACCATTGATTGGCGTAACCGTTGGACATAATCGGGTTGCATCCAGATCGGCAAAGCTTTGGGATGGCCTGAAAAAGTCGCCAGGAGTCCGAAGGGTAGTCCCGTAAACAAGTTCGACAGCGGGACACTCCAAGTCGGGTTTAATTGAGGTGCGGGTACCGAGCATGGCCAAAGGGAGATGTTCACTAGCTTGAGTGAGTTATCATAGGCTCGGAGTAAGGTTTTAATTTGGCAGTGGAAACCCTCATCTAGACCGTTGGATGAGGGATGGTAAACTGTCGTACACCCGAGGAGGTCAGTAAGGGCTTTAAAGCACTTAGTGTTAAGTTGCTGGACTCGGTCGGTGGTAATAGTGTGGGGACATAATGGGGAATCCAGTGTTCCAAACAGCCACGAGCGACAGTATCTGCAGCGATGTTTGGGATCAGGGTTGCGATGGGCCATCGCTTAAATCGGTCAATAACAGTGAGTGAATAGTTGCAACCACGGGATGTTGGCAAAGGACCAGATCTACGTGCATCGGGTGCAAGAAAGGTTCCAATTGGAGCTTTATTGTGACGTCCGATTTTGGCCTTCTGACAGGCCAAATATTGCGAGCCCACTGGCGGATATCAGTGTACATGTTGGGCCAGACGAAACGGTCGCTGACGCGGCACTGAGTAGCCCGAATCCCAGGGTGGGTGAGAACATCTCGTTGTATCTCGCTTGGTACTATAGGGTGAGAGGGACCACGAGACACATCGCACACGATTATCCTGGAAGTGGCGAACGGAGGGATGACTGTAATCTGAAGGCTAGCATGCTATAGTTGTTCTGAACAATTCGGCCGCTGCCGCAGTTCCGTCATGTGCTCCAAGTCGATGGAAGGGCGGGTAATTGCTTTACATCCATGTCGCGATGCAGTCAGCGACCTGATTCGAGGGTCTTACGAAATCGAATATAGGCAGTATATTGAGAGATTAAATCAAGGTAGTGGGCCGAATACTTATCAGAGAGAGTGGAGAAGGTATGGGTAAGAGGTTCATGGTGGTTATAAACACAAAAATCTCTGCATTCAACGTAGTTATGAAAATTCTTGATGGTGAGCTACATGGCAAAGAGTTCTCTACCAAAAGTGCTATAACAAGTTTGTTGGAGGCGTCAATTTAGCAGGGTGGGGGATAGGGGTTCAATATCCGTTGGGGCCTGTTTGCTGGAGGGCTGCACCTATGGCGCAACTGGTGGCATCAGCAACAATGGACAGCGGGGCATCAGTCAGAGGGTGAGAAAGAGCAGTTGTAGCCACAAAGATATCTATGAAACGTTGGAGGACGTCCACAGCGGCGTTAGGAAAATAAATTCGCGGTTGTTGTCCCCTAAAAGATTTGTGAGAGGTGACATTAATTGATCGCAAATACGGATGAGACGTCCGTAAAAATTGACTAGACATAAGGAACGGCGCAGTTGTCAGAAAGAGGTAAGAACAGGGAACTCGCGAATAACTGTAACTTTGGCGTCTATGTATGGGATGATAACCGAGAGCATCCATGCGGTGTCCAAGGAACAAAGCGAGGAAACGCAAAAGACTCATTTGGAGACGTAGATGAAAACGCCAAATTGGCTCAACAGTTCGAACAGAAGACGTAGGTTTTACAGGTGCTGATGTTCACTGCAACTGGCAACTAGATCATCGACATAAACAAAAATACAAGGGAAGTTGCGGAGGACCTCGTTAATGAAACATTGAAAAATTTGGGTGAAGTTACGGAGTCTGAAAGACATCCTGACGAACTCCAAAAGGCCGAATGGAGTCGTAATCGCCATTCTTGGGATGTCTTCTGGAGGAACGGGAATTTGGTGGAAGGCCTTCACTAGGTCAGTGTTTCAAAATACTATTGCCCGGCTAGGCTAAAGGGAAAGTCATGGAGGTGGGGAAGCGGATATCTGTCAGGGACTGTGCAGTTGCTAAATTATCAGTAATCAACACATGCACGTCAGTCCGTGAGACTTTTTGCAAACCATATGCAGAGGGGTGGGTCATAGGCTAGTGGGGGTACTGTGGCGATTCGCGTCTCCTTGCCCTCCGCCTTTGTCACGCTGCCTTCCTGTCCGCCTCACGCTCTTTGTCGATACGCTGCTGGGACGCGCGAGTGCTCCAGGCCAATCAACGCTGTCCCCCCTCTGATTGGCTGGCGGACGCGGAGACAACTGAGGGCGCACGCACGCGCTGACACAACACCTGGTAGGCGGACACAGACAGCAACTTGTCTGGAGAGCACGCTTGCGGCGACTGCCCACACAGCCTTAGTGTACACGCTTTCCAAACAGTAAAGGTTGTCCCACTCATTCCGTCTTCCCTGACTTTTGATTGGGAATCTTTATCTTGTCCACCATACGACATTCGACAATTGGTGACTCCTTTGCGAACAGCAATCTTTCTTCCTAATCTACGGTAAAGCCAGGTGTTAATCATGGACAACTTTCCACGGGGAGTGCAGCATATTTAGGCACCCGCCTGCGGCATTCTTTCGGCCACGCAACTTACTCAGATGGCTGATCGGCTTATGGAGATGCACGGTTTTTCCAAGCCATCCATTGCAGCACTCTCAACTCCCTCATCTCCACCTGCGGCTCCCATTTCGCAGTTGGAGATCGAGCTCAGCAAACTGGCCAGCTAAGTGCCATTCCACCCACACCAGCTGATCGTCGGTGTCCCAATCCCGGTCTTTTCCTATAGGCCGTCAACACATCGCCGATTACCACATTTGGCATCTGCTCCCTCTCTATGGACATCGGTCTCCGGCGTCTCTTCCCTTGGGTCTTCGTCGTTGCTGACATCCCCTGTGCAATTCTCGGTGCAGATTTCCTCGCCGCTTTCGATCTTCTGGTCGACTGCCGTCAGTCACGTCTACACGACATGACCATCAACCTCACTGTCCGGGGTATCTCTTCCTCCGACGCCTCCCGTCATCTTGCCGTCTTGGACCCTGAACCTGAGAATCCATTTCGGCAACTCCTCGCCAAATACCCCGGCCTCACTCCTCCCAACTTCAACGTTTCTATTCCACCACATGACGTTGTTCACCACATTCGGACCACCGGCCCTCCCGTGTTTTCTCGCCTCCGCCGTCTCGCGCCTACACGTCTTGCTGCCACCAAGGCCGAATTCGAGCACATGCTTCAAATGGGCATCATCCGTCAGTCTGACAGCCCATGGGCCTCACCCCTCCACGTGGTTCCAAGGGCCGCCACTGGTGACTGGCTTCCCTGCGGTGATTACAGGGCCCTGAACAACGTTACTGTCCCGGACCGCTACCCTGTCCCACATCTTCAGGATTTTTCCGGTGCCCTATTCGGCAAATTTGTATTCTCGAAGATCGATCTGGTCCGTGCTTTCCACCAAATTCCCATAGCCCCAGAGGACGTTTCGAAGACGGCCGTTACCACCCCCCTTGGCCTCTTTGAGTTCCTGCGCATGCCGTTTGGACTTCGCAACGCCTCCCAGACCTTCCAAAGATTTGTAGATAGAGTGCTTCGCGGCCGATCATTTGTCTACGCCTATATCGACGACCTTCTAGTAGCCAGCTCCACCAGCGAAGAACACATGGAGCATCTGGCAACGGTGTTTGACCGCCTTCAACAATTTGGCGTTGTTCTCAACCCGTCCAAGTGCGTCTTCGGTGTGCCCTCCCTAGAATTTCTCGGTCACCTGTTCGACTCCCACGGCATTCGGCCTCTTCCCTCAAAGGTTGCCTCCATTCGGGACTTTCCACCCCCTACCTCGAAGCGTCAGTTGCAACGGTTTCTTGGTATGGTGAACTTTTATCGCCAGTTTCTCCCGAGCTCTGCCGATACCATCCTACCTCTGACCAGTCTCCTCTCAGGTTCCAAGCGCACCTGTGAACTTACACCAGCAGCACTCACGTCATTTGAGCAGGTAAAAGCCCTTCTGGCTGATGCCACCCTCCTGACTCACTTTCATGCTGATGCACCCATATCTCTGATGGTCGACGCCTCCAATGTTGCTGTTGGCGCGGTTCTTCAACAAAGTCTGCCGGATTCTACCGTGCCTTTGGCCTTCTTCTCCAAGAAACTATCCAAAGCCGAAACCCGCTACAGCACATTCGGACGTGAACTTCTCGCTGCTTATCTTGCCGTAAGGCACTTCCGGCATTTACTCGAAGGTCGAGAGTTCACAATTTTCACAGATCATAAGTCGCTCACCTTTGCTATGCATTCCCACACTGACAAACTAAACCCCTGGGAAATCCGCCAACTGGACTACATCTCACAATTTACCTCAGACATCCGCCACATCGACGGGTCACGCAATGAGGTGGCTGACGCACTGTTCAGGCCCTCCATCGCACATCTCCAACTTTCTCCCGGGATCGACCTAGCTGAGATGGCCGCTGAACAGCGCCTTGTCGGTCCATCCTGTGATGAGCATGTTTCCGGACTCCATCTTTAGGAGCTACCACTGAAAACTGGCAACGGCATTATTCTATGCGACGTATCCACCCCATCCCATCGTCCATTTGTGCCACCATCTCTCCGCCGTCAAGTTTTATCCTCCCTGCACAATCTCTCTCACCCTGGGAGTCGAGCAACCGACAAGCTGGTTTCCGACCGCTTCGTCTGGCCTGGGATGCACAAAGACCTGAAAGCATGGGCACGGGCTTGTATCGCCTGTCAACGGAGTAAGATTCAGCGGCACAACAAGGCCCCCATTGGCACCTTCCCTGGCCCTGGTTCAAGGTTCAGCCACGTTCACCTGGATATTGTAGGCCCCCTGCCTCTGTCCAATGGTTGTTCCTATCTCCTCACCTGTGTGGATCGGTTCACTAGGTGGCCTGAAGCAATTCCCCTGCCTGACATTGCTGCTCCAACGGTGGTCAAGGCTTTTCTCAGTCGTTGGGTTGCCATCTTTGGTGCACACTCCACAATCAAGACTGACCGTGGTGCCCAGTTTGAGTCTAACCTCTTCCAGTCTTTATTCTCCTTTTTAGGCTGTACTCGCATCCGCACTACAGCCTATCATCCGCCAGCCAACGGTATGGTCGAGCGGTTTCACCGCCAGTTGAAGGCCTCCCTACGCGCTACGGCCGATCCGGAGTACTGGACGGACCACCTTCCCTTGGTCCTCTTGGGCATCCGCGCCGCTCTCAAGCCGGATCTTGACTGTTCCGCAGCTGAACTGGTGTTCGGCGCTACTGTCCGACTTCCCGGTGAGATGATCTCGCCAACCCCGCGAGGTGCAGTTGAGGATCCCACCAACCTCCTGCATCGTCTCCGGCAATTCATGCGGACACTTTCTCCGGTTCCTCCCAGGTCCATCGTCTTATCTCCAGAAGGACTTGACAACGCGCTCTCACGTCTACCTTCGATGTGATCGAGTCCGCCGGCCCCTGGAACTACCCTACGATGGCCCCTTCCGAGTTATCTCTCGTGGTACGAAGCACTTCCGCATCCAACGCGGCACTCGCGAGGAGGTCGTGAGCGTGGACCGCCTCAAAGCTGCCGTCCCCGACACTCCTCTGGATGAGTCCTGTGGGCCCCTACCCCCTGCTCCGCCTCCCCGACCCTCTATCCCTCCGTCCCGTATATTTCCTCTGCCCTCATGTATAAACCCCCAACTGCAACTACTCCTTCATCAACCAACAACACTGTAACCGCGAGTCACACTCACTCTACACCTTGCCCCCAGTATATAACACCCGTAGTGGACCCCATGTTCATTTTCCTGACCGTTTGGTTACTTATGTTTTTTAGACATCAGCAATCCCTTCGGCATCGCTACGCGCCGTCTTCGGTCTAGCCGGGGGGTACTGTGGCGGTTCGCGTCTCCTTGCCCTCCGCCTTTGTCACGCTGCCTTCCTGTCCGCCTCACGCTCTTTGTCGATACGCTGCTGGGACGCGCGAGTGCTCCGGGCCAATCAACGCTGTCCCCCCTCTGATTGGCTGGCGGACGCGGAGACAACTGAGGGCGCACGCACGCGCTGACACAACACCTGGTAGGCGGACACAGACAGCAACTTGTCTGGAGAGCACGCTTGCGGCGACTGCCCACACAGCCTTAGTGTACACGCTTTCCAAACAGTAAAGGTTGTCCCACTCATTCCGTCTTCCCTGACTTTTGATTGGGAATCTTTATCTTGTCCACCATACGACATTCGACAGGGAATCAAACTGTGCCAAGTCCCATCATATGACTGAATTCTGCCTTGGCGATATCTAATTTATCAGCCGCTAGACGACGAGGACGGCTAAAAACGGGTGGTCCTCTAGTCAAAATATAATGCGGAATGTCTAGTAGTCTGGTCAACCTGTGAAGGCCGGGAGATGGATAGAAATTCTTTAAGTAAACGATGATAAGTGTTGGATGAATCGATTATTAAAATTCATGGCCTAGGGGATGGAATGTTACGAGTTGAACAACTGGAATACAAGGATGTCATCGGTCCGAAAGGTTTATGGTATCAATGCTTAGACCGAAAAAGGATATAAAATCGGCACGGAAAATGGCGGTATGGGCATAGGCAATAGTTAATATCCAGCGGAAAGAATGTCGTAACCCAAGATCTAAAGTTAGGGATCGTCGATCAAATGTTGTAATGGTGGTACTGTTAGCTGCCTGGAGGATAATTGAAGAGGTGGGTGACCTAAGGGCAGTCGGAGAGGGTGGAATGAGACTAGCGTCAGCGCCAGTGTCCACGAGGAAATTACGGCAGGAACGCTTATGGTAAATGTGGAGCAGGTGACTTGGGGTGGTTGAACTGAACACGTTCGTCGTCGCTACTGGCCGGTGGGTGAGTTTTCCACAAAATATTTCTCGTAACGACATGGGGGTTTGCAGTGATAGGCAATTAACCCATAGTTGTAGTGGTATCAGCAGAAACCGTTCGGCGTGGACAGAGGGGTGGGAGACCTCTTAGGGCGAGAGACACGTGAAGCACGAAGCTGGGGAATTCAAGGGTGAGGTCGTCTAGACGTTTCATGACATTCTCGATTGCAGACGTAGTTGGCGCATTGAAGAAGAAGACACGATCGCCGATCGCCGGAATGCCATTCTGCCTATATATCATGCGCCGCCGTGCGGGTGCTGGTTTGGCTCGAGAGAGAGCCCTTATGGCACAACAGAACGAGTGAGTTCCGTATGAACGATCGGTGAGCGCCCTCTACCATTGTATATCCCCGATCGAAAACCGACAGGGCAACGGGTTCGTGGCCCGGTGGGTAGAGGTGTGGACTTCTAACTAACAGGTCGCGCGTTCGAGGCTCGGATGTTCCACACTTCGCGTTTGGGTATGACTAGCTGACGACGGCTAATAAGCCAGAAATGGCCATTCCAGTCTCCCTTGTCTTTATCGGTAATGCCATTCGGCCTATATATAATGCGCCGCTGTGCGGCTGCTGGTTGGGCTCGAGAGAGAGCCCTTAGGGCACAGCGGAACGAGTGAGTTCCGTATGAACGATCGGTGAGCGCCCCCAACCACTCTGTTGAGTTTGCATTTTGTTGTTCTTGCCTGCTTGCTATTGTCTGCTTGTTTGTGTTTGTCTTTATTGTACGCTAAATGCCGTTATGTTCAGTTCATCTGCACACCGTTTATATTTCAGCAACCAGTTCTCTTAGAGAGGGATGGGAAAGCGCTGCGTCCCGTCTCCCCACTCTTTTCCACCCTCCCCCCCCACTCAAAAGTATTGCGGCATTGTCGTAGGCAGGCCCATGCCAACTCGGGTCTTCCTCTCACTAAGCAAAGTCGTGGCCCATAGTGGAGTTCGGCAATCGTCTGGGACAACTGAGTAGCCCTATTTAGGGAGAGCACTAATTACCCTCGCGAGGGGGAAGGGACCAGAAAAGGTGACCTAAGTAAATGCTGGGGATCCACGCAGTCTGCAGGCTGACCGTGGCCGCAGACACAAAACTCACGGTTCAAACAACCAAACAAGAACCCACACTCTCTCTCCTCCCCGCCGCCCCGCTCGCCCCACTGGTAGGGTTAGTCCGTCTACTCTCGCAGCCTGGAATGTTCGTTCCCTTTTAGACAATTTGAGGAGCAACGAACCAGAACGGAGGACGGCGCTAATGGCTCGAGAACTGGCGCGCCACAAGGTTGACATCCCCGCACTCAGCGAAACCCGGATCTCCGTACAAGGCCAACTGGAGGAGGTTGGTGCCAGCTGCACCGTCTTCTGGAGCGATCGCCGCAGGGCAGATCGACGGGACGTCCCCTTTGCCATCCGTAACGACATCGTGGGATGACTGCCCTGTCGGCCGCAGGGCATCAACGACCGCCTGATGGGCCTCCGTCAGCCTCTCTGCGGAGGCAAATTTGCCACTACCATCAGAGCCTACGCTTCACCGATGACCAGCCCTGACGCCGCAAGGGACAAATTCTACTAGGACCTGCACGCCTTCCTGCCGACTGTGCCGAAGGCGGACAAGTTGATTGTCCTTGGTGACTTCAACGCCCGCGTCGCCGCAGACCATGCTGCCTGGAGAGGAGTGCGGGGTCCCCATGTTCCTGACGGTTCCAACGACAATGTCCTGCTCCTCCTACGCACCTGCGCAAAAAACCGGCACATTCTGAGCAACACCTTCCGCCTTCTGACACGGGAAAAGGCGACCTGGATGTGTGCCGAGGCGCCAGACTGCCTTGCCTTTCCCTACCTGTTCCTCATTCTTGAACTTACTGGTTGTTTAACTTAATGAAAGGAACACAACACGACGCGACGCGCTTGGCATGAGTTGGATTTTTAGGTCGTTTGACTTTTGATTGTTAATTCTTTCATAACTCTGATCTTATCCTGATATTCATAGTATGGGATTGACGGTTCTGCCCTTAGCGGTCGTGACAGAGGCACCTAGGTTGCGACATTGGCACCTGCTGGACTATGTCCTCGTTCGGAAGCGAGACCAGCGGGGCGTGCTGGTGACAAGGGCGATTCCTGAACCACCACTTCCATCCCCCTCCTCCTCCTCCTCCTCCTTCGCTGTTCCAACCGCTGTCGGTGTGGCGCCTGCCACGCACGTCGACACTGCACACAATCCTGACATATCCTTAAACACCATCAGCACCACCGTCAACACCAGTGGCGAGAACCAGGACTACATCTGCCCTCACTGCGACCGCACCTTCACCTCACACATCGGCCTGGTCGACCCCTTGACAATCCATCGCACAGACACTGGCGAACCAGAGCCTGGAGCACCAACCGACACCCGCGCACCTGCCCCACTGTCCACACTGCCCTTGCACGTTCACGCATCGCATGGGCCTGTTCGGCCGCATGCGCATCCACGAGAGCGGAACTGACCGCAATCCCGACTCACCTACCACGCCCAGCCCCACCCGCACACGGTCGCCCTGTGCGCCCACCAACACCTCCGCAAATGACACTGCCGACTGCTCATGCCTATACTCTCCACGCAAATTCAACCCGCGCATCGGCTTGGCCGGTCACCTGCGAATCCATCGCACAGAGACTGGCGAACCAGTGCCTGAAACACACACCTACACTCGTCGCAACCGCCTCCATTGTCCACACTGCCCTCGCACATTCACGCACCGCCTGGACCTATTCGGCCACATGTGCATCCACGAAAACCTGCGGTAGACAACCATCGGCTGCACCACACCATCACACCCTCCCCCACCACTATCTCACCACACACCAACATCACCCACCGCAAGCAACCAATTGCCATCTCCCACGCAAGTGGGAAGTGTGCGTCCCAATAAGGTCTCCATGCGGCTCCTTTTGCACGGGTGACTTGAGTATGAGACTATCCTGACGCGCCAAGCGCCGTGGATAGGAAGGATGCTGATTGGCGCCCCAACTCAGTCCACGCAGCGCGTCCCGTTGTGTGTGTTTTGTGGAGTGGCGGACTGGTGGGTTGGGGGCCGGACTGGAACAGCTCCTTCCACCGCACTCTCACGCATGCGAGAGATACGCCTCTCAACCCCCCTTGTGTGAACTCTTGGCATTTGTGTTTTGGGGGCCAGGTCGTGTGTGTGGTGCGCGCAGATAAGGTCACTAGACCATGCCAACCACTGTGCACATTCCCCGCTGCAGTCAGCTGACCGTCGCGGACAGTGGCTGAAGTTTGGGAATGGGAAGGGAGAGTGAGGTCGACTACTTAGCGCACTCTCCTCACTATAAACAATCTGACGCGCCTGAAGCTATCACGGTGTGCTAGAAGCCGTGGCTTGGAAGGTCGCTAACTGACGGGGTAACTTGGACCTCCTTGACTGGAGGTCTGAGAGTCAGGCTGCAATGGCTCCTTCTTAATGTGGCCTTTATGGCACTCCCACTGTGCGGGATCTGAGCCGGACGTCGGCGGCACGCCTAGGTGCGGGTTCGGCCGCACACCCCCCCGTTCGCTGTGTGGACCAGGAGATGTGGGGTGGAACGCCAAGGTGCGGGCTCAACCGTGTCATTCACCTACGCACTCCCCCGCCTCCGGTCTTCTTGATAATGTTTTGTCACCGGGGCCCAGGTGTGGGAGGTGGGGGGAGTGTGGTAGATGCAGCTCAAATCTACTGTCATTATAAACTAATTCAGGCGCAAGCCACCGTCCCTGCTCCCTGTGGGGGCATGGTAGACATCGTCGGAAACAACAGTCGAACTGTCATGTGGGGCTTCTGTGAGCGCGCAATCTATGATGCTGTGGTCGGTGGCGATATCCATTGGGAGTACTTCCACAACACAGTGAGATTTCGTATCCCCTATTGTAATTTGGCGGAGGTCGAAAAAGGATTCTACAACGCGCAAGCCACAACGCGATGTCACCAAACCACACGGCTGTAAGGTCAAATGTGTGAACGTCGGCTACCGGCTGGCTGGTGAAATCGTTGGACATGATTAGCCGATGTCGGTCAGAGGTCAGATACCTGAGGCAGATGACTGGCGATTTGATACTGTGAGTGAATGGCAGCACTCGTATGAGTTGAAAAGGTGAGGCCGCGTGAATAGCAAATAATGTCTGGCTAAAATAATCGGATCAATAAAAAGTAGGGTGGAGATGAATCAGAATGAAAATAATTATACACAGAAATGAAAAAGAAGGCGCTATGAACGATATAAGGTCATCAATGTAAGACATAGACCGGTCTACTGCGAGTTAAATTATAAAAAACGACGTAGCCACAAGGATGCAGCGTTGCTGTTGGAAGTTGTGCGAAAGTTCTCTACAGGTCGTATTTTTGATGCACTAAAACAGAACTCACATTCATATCACTGCAAATCACTGTCGACGGCAACCAACTCAAAACTGTGGGCAATTTTGCTTATCTCGGGAACACACTTTTCAACAGCACCACAGTCGACTACGAAGTGGCTCATCGGATTTCCAAAGCCAGCCAAGCCTTCGGCCGGGTGAAGCCCTCCGTGTGGAATCGTCACGGCCATCAACTGAGTACCAAACTGAAGATGTACAAGGCCGTAATCCTGACAACACTTTTATACGCATCGGAGACTTGGACCGTCTACTCCAACTGGGCCAAGAAACTCAACCACTTCCATTCGCCTGATGTTTCGAATTCACCCCCGAACCCATTATCAGGCACAGTAACAGATACGGGTGATTCGTGCACAGGAATTTACAGTTTTTATAGGCTGCAGTCGTTATGCTATTGCATACCTATGATAATTGACTGCTCTCCCCTTCATCGAGGATTGTTGCCCGCTGGTGCGCTAATTGCTTGATGGCCGGCATTCAAGTTGTTAATTGCTGAAATTTCATCACCCATGTCGGATGTTGATGGCTCGGCCACCCGGCTCACCTGCCTGCACGCTCCCCGAATGGTTAATTACTTTTGTCAGGCTGTAGATCAACCCGGGGATCTGGGAGGACCTCACCCAGGACAGACCGGCATGGCGAAGAGAAGTGAAGACCGGCGCCACCGTCTGCGAAGCAAATCGGGTCACCACTGCTCAGGCCAAAGGGGGGTCTCGTAAGTCACAAGTGTTTCGCCTCCTCAATGCCAACTGTCAACCGCTTCCAACATGCCCTCGTTGCCAACGTACATTCCGCGTGCTAATCGGTCTCGTGGGACAACTTCGGACCCAGTATGTCTACAACTCGACAACGTCTACCTCTCCCACTCTCGCTCCTACTGCAAACACCGCGCCGACCGTCACTCGCGTCACAGCTGATCATACTGTCACTGTCTCGCCGCCACTAACCACCGAAACCATCGCCCTGCCCCCACCCCTGCGTCGAACACAATGACCACCACCACAACACCATCACGCTGAGACAATCGCGACCGCGATGCAGCGGCCACCTGGTGATAATGGAAGACGCTCGTTTACCAAAACATTTGTAGTGAGATTTAAGTCCGTTTTGTTTTATTCAGTTACAATACGTTCAGATTGGCAAAGTTGAGATATCTGGGTTGACTAATTGAAGACGAAGACAGGCTCTCCGGAAGAGGTTTATTTAAGTGCTGACGTTTCAAAGAGCTGGGTCGGCTCTTCATTGTCAAAGCGTAAAATGCACTTGATCGATCAGAAATTTAATTTAAAGTGGCAGTCGTGTTGGCCGGCCTCATGCTGATCGATTTTTCCCTCCTCTCGCTGCCTCGGCCTCTCGGGAGATGGTTGACGGGCGTTTTGCCTGTGTGCTTTGTGAGTCACCACTCCGTCGAGGGGAACTGATTGAACTTTAGTCGGGCGGTTGGTCTGGCGGTTCTTCTTTTTCCTCACCCAGTAGACTCAACGTCGGGCTATCTCCGTGCGGCCTTCTTAAGTCCGGTGTGGTTGTTTGGTCCTGAGCTTTACGATTGTGATGACGTAGGACTTTGTAAGCTGCAGGAAGGTCCAGATGCCTGTTGATAGAGTGGGCATCGGAGAACCACGCCTCGAGAGTTAGCCGTTCTGTTTTTGTGTTGCCTCGACCTAAGATGGTAGCCCTCTGGAGGTCAAAAGTATGCCCCGTTTCTCCAACATGTGTTGCTAGTTGAGAGTTAGAGTCTAACCTCCGAGTGGCCGCTTTGTGTTCCTGTAGGCGAGTTTGCAACTTCCGCCCGGTTTCGCCCATATAGTTGCAGTCGCCCTCATTGCAATTTATTTTGTAGATGACTGCTGAGGTTTCAGCGGGTGGCAATGGGTCCTTAGGCTGCATTAGCCGACGTCGAATTGTTGTTTGTTGTCGATGGGCTATGCCTACTCTGGTGGGATGTAACAGTCGCGAGACCGCTTCAGAGACCCCTTTAACGTAAGGAATGGCCCTCCAGACTTCGGATTGTTGCTCATTTGGCCGTTGTCTGGGCGCCCAACGTCTGCTTCTCTCGATGAAATGCCTGGGATACACATTGGCTGCAAATAGGTTCACAAGGTACAATCGTTCGGCCCTTTTATCTTCTGGTGTGCTGCAGTGTGTTTCGACTCTTTGGAATAGAGTGCGGACACAACTACGTTTGTGAGACAGAGGATGGTTGCTGTTGAAGTGTAGGATCTGTCTCGTGTCGGTGGATTTTCGGAATACTGTAGTTTGCAACTGTCCAGTGGTACACCGGTGCACAAGTACGTCAAGGAAAGGCAGTTGGTTGTTTGTTTCTGCTTCCATCGTAAATTTGATATCCGGGTCAACCGAGTTCAGTAGTTCTATTAAGTGTTCAATGTCAGTTGTTTTGACAACTACGAAGGTGTCATCGACATAGGGGGCCCAGAACTTTGGTTGATACTTGGTGAACACCAAATGTTCAATACGCATTTTAAAGAACATGACACACCATTGAATAAGGCATAGAACAAGCACGCGCATTTCTACCTGCTGACGACTTTGTCCTTATTTACTAGTTTGTAACTGTTGGGATACTGCAATCTTCGTTTCCTGGATATCCTACGTACTGCCCAACAAATTGTGATCCTTCGTTTTGATTGCGCCTTCAATTGCACTGACTTGCTAACAATTTCCACGCAAACGCGCCTTTTCTGTCTGCCCGTTTTCGATTGACAAAATTCGTCGGTTTTAACCAATAAGAGAACTGCATTTCCAAGCCACCAAAAAGTGACCTCACCTGACCACCAATTTTGAGACCTATGACCAAATCATGTCCAGCGACAAGTTCTCGCAGCAAATTAGTGGCATTCACACATTCGACCTTCCAACCTTCTAGCTTAATGACATAGCCCTTTGGTTGCGCACGGTCGAATCTCGTTTTGCTTTGCGTCAAATCAGGAAGGACGAAACGAAATTTAATTATCTCGTGGCCGCAGTGTCAGTGGAGATTGCAACAGATCCCCGTGAGATTATACACAGCCCACTCACAGAGACTCCCTATGCTACGCTAAAGAACGCCCTGATCGCCCGTGTTTCGCTATCAACACAATAACACCTTCAGAGATTAATTTCTGAAGAGGACCTTGGTGATAGGAAGCCAACTGTTATGACCCGCCTGGTACGTGAAATCCTGTGGAGCGTATGCGCACTCGACCCTTGTCCCCAATACCAACGCGGCAGAGAAGGAGAACGCGACCGGCCACGAAACTGTGTATTAGGAAAATGCAAGTCAAAATGAACTGGGAGTGACGCGTATTTATAACGCCTTACGGTGCTTCGCCGGCGTTCGGCCCAATGCCCTTCGGGAAGAACATTCAAGACGAGCCGGTCGATAATTCGAATATGCTGATCGATCAGGCCCGCGAGGAAACGCCAATGGAGAGGCG